TTTTTTTTTTATTAATGTATGTTGTACTTTTAATCATTGACATATATTAATTAAAATTACCTGGTTTTGACAAAGTAATGCTAAATTATTTAACTGTTTAGCAACATCTGGATGTCCCTTGCCTAACACTGCTTCTCTGATTTCTAAAGCTCGTTTACATAATGGTTCAGCATCTTTATACTTGCCTCTTTTCCCATAAAGAACAGCTAAATTGTTTAATGTTGCTGCAACCTATTAAGAAATAACAAATAATGAATTTTTTTCTTTAATAATGTAAACATACTAGCTGACTATAATACTTAGAAGTCTTAAATCAATAAAAGCTTAATAAAACTATTATGTGTACCTAAGCCCTTTGCAGACTCTAAAACCTTACGTCTTGAATACTACCAAGCTGACTACAACTGTCAGCTAAGGCTTAAGAGAATAATAAGATACAGAGTCATCAGGGAGGACCCGGGGTTTTGATTGTGAAAAAATAATATATATCATATAATCCTTGTATATGTATAAACATTTCATTATCACATTATTTTGTCAGTGAAGTTGTATTAACCTTCAATAAATATTTACTAATAATCATCTAAAATGTTCACATTATAAGGAACATTGGTTTAATGTATACCACGAGTAGTAAGGTAATATTCAGTAATAAAGTAAATTTATACTACGAGTAGCAAGGTAATATTCAGTAATAAAGTAAATCGAAATTTCCTATCTTCAAATTTTATGATTTATAAGTGTAATTTATGAATATATATATATTTATAATATATAAAGGGAAATTGTCCAATTTAAAAAAAAGGATGTCCCATAAAAGAAGAATACAAATAGTACTTATCTTAAAAAAATTAAAACAATCCATACATTTTTCAAAAAGTTGAAAAAAGCTAAGAAAAAGTGGTAAAAGGCACNAAACAATCCATACATTTTTCAAAAAGTTGAAAAAAGCTAAGAAAAAGTGGTAAAAGGCACAAAAAAAAAACATCATAGTAAAATTAATACCTTCTCAGCTTCACATCGAAGCTAAAACCTGAAAAGCTCATGGATAATGTATAATTAATTAATTTCATAAGTTTATTTCTTCTTTTATTATTTATTCAAACTGATTTAAAATTTTCCAATTAAAGCTGTACTAGACCTTTGAATTACCTAAGTTAATTTTTTTTTGTTTTTAGCTTCGATGCGAAGCTGAAAAGGTATTCGTTTTACTATGTTTTTTTTTTGTTACTACTTTTTCTCAGCTCTCACCGAACTGATTTCTTTCAACGATACGTCAAAAGATCACAAATCATATCTAGTCGAAGACATTACCCTCAAACATTGCAAAAATATTATAAATCTGACACTTTATTTGCCCACAGGGGGGGATTTAAAATGACAACTTTTTCACAAAAAATTAAATTTTGAAAGTGTTCCGAAAAGTCTGACACTTTTGTGTATATCTTAAATTAAAGCTAATGTAATATACTTTATCATGGAAAATAAAAATTTCGGACTTTATTTTGTCTTCACGGTAAAAAATAGCTAACAAATGCTATTTTTGTGTGAAAATTCTCGATTTTGTATTTTACATTTTTAACTTTATATTTATATAACTAAATGTATGAATCAATACAATTTTTTCATGATAAATACTATTTATATACATCTTTCATTTGACATACTTTTTTAAATCGGATCATTTCCTTACATACAGGGGGGTTCAAAACTAAAAAATGCATATAGTAAGTAGAACTTTTTCAGCTTAATTTTTTTAAATGTTCCGGAAATACTGACATTTTTATATATATCTTAAATTAAAACTTATGCAATATACTTTAGTATTAAAAAAAAAAAATTTTCAGACTTTATTTTGTCGGCACAGTGAAAACATCAAAGTTAATAAAAAAAATATGATTTTTGTAAAACAATTTGTTTTTATATTTTTAACTTTATAATGCTATAACTTTTTGAAAAATGTATGGATTATTATAATTTTTTTAAGACATGTACTATTAAGATAAGTCCGAAAAATAAAAAAACACAAGATTGAATTAAATATTTTAAGCTGAATTTTTAAACTTCATTACAATAGGATAATTAAAAATAATTATTCTGGTTAAATGGATACACACATACATATAAATATACAGGGTGATTTTTTTATCATAACCCACTTAATTACTTATAGAATAATAATAATTTAAACATTTTTTTTTTTTATTATCTTTAGTCACACATTATTCTTGAATTATTAACTATGTAATACTTTTTAAGTTCATCCCTTATGCCTGGTAAGGGTGTCAACTTTGTTTTTTTAAATGGTAACACATATTTTTAATTTAATAAAATGTTTGAGTTTTTAATTCAATAGTAAATGGCATTTGAATTTTTAATAAAACTTAATTTGTTTATTAGATATAAACATTTAAAGTTTCAAATTTTTGAGTTAATATATAGGTATAATACACAAGGGATTACAAATACAGGTAGCTAATTGGTTTTTTATGATATTGCTGTCACAGTCACGGATTGTTTATTATCAATTATGACTATCAATAGATATACTTTTTGTATTGTCAGTTAGTGTATTTATAAACTCACAACAATGTACCTTACTATCATTGATAATAACAATGCTGTGTACCTGCTAATATCGATGTCATAAAAAATTCAATTAGCTACCTGTATTTTTTAATCCCTTGTGTATTATACCTGTATATTAATTCANATATTTGTAATCCCTTGTGTATTATACCTGTATATTAATTCAAAAATTTGAAACTTTAAATGATTATATCTAATAAACGAATTAAGTTATATTAAAAATTCAAATGCCATTTACTATTAAATTAAAAACTCAAACATTTTATTAAATTAAAAATAAGTGTTACCATTTAAAAAAACAAAGTTGACTCCCTTACAAGGCATAAGGGATGAACTTAAAAAGTATTACATAGTTAA